TTGTGGTTTTTTTTTTTCTCAGCAAAGAAAAGATTTAGGATATTAAATTTACCTTTTCACTCTAGAAACGGTTTACTTGATGGTTGGATGGAAATCTCTAGGCAAATTGCCAATGCTCTAACCCACCTGTTTTGTAAAAAATGACTGGAAAGTCACAAAATAACCATGGTAAATCTCCGAGACTGTGTACAGATAGAAAGACGCGAGCAGATACATATATATATATATATATATATATATATATATATATATTAGTTGTACATACACCTATACATATAGTTGTAATAATGTTTGTTGGGGGTTTCAGGAATTGTTTATTTATTTATTATTTTGTTACAGACTGACACATTTTTTGTTACCATAAAGTAGACTCCTTTTTAGACAATGTTATTAAAGTTCACAATCTTTGCTAGCTATAAACAGCACGAGGTTAGTGGGTATGGTGTCAAGAGTGCCTTGTTATTCTTTAAATATAATGGTTGCCAAGCACTGCAGCTGCCTTAACAATTTTGTGGGTTCTCTGTGGATTGCCAGAGTGGAAATGAATGCGCTTGTCTGCATCCTCAGGAAGCAACATGTATTAGATGAGTGATGTCACCGGCATTTTAACAAAGACTTACCCAGGGAAACAGGTTCCTTATATCCAACATTTATTTTTATTCTTTCTTATGGAGGTAATAGATCCATGCATCATCATTGATTTAGTATGGAAAGATTTGGTCATAAGACTTTAAAGATGCCATTTTGTCCAACTGAGTAGTGCTACACACAGTTTAAAGGGACACTATAGTCACCAGAACCACTAGAGTTTAACATAGTTGTTCTGGTGTCTATAGCCTGCCCCTGCAGGCTTTTCATTGTAAGCTCAGCCTCAGACGGTCACTAGAGGTTCTCCCTAGTTAAGTGTTGCACTGTGTGCCTCACCAATGTTCAACATCTCCATAGAGAGGCATTTTGTTACGCACGTTCAATAACCCATAGGAAAGCATTGGATTGGCTGAGATCATCAAGATTGATAATCTCAGCCATGGAGGAGGGACCCGCAATGGTGAAGCTGGTGCGGTGATGGAGAAAAGGTAAGTTTAACACATACACTGACACATACACTCATTAACAGACACACTCATTAACAGACACACTCACTGACAGACACACACACATACACACTCACTGACAGACACACACATTCTGGCACACACAAATCATTTTATTTATTGCTCCCTACCTTTGGGAGCTGGTGTGGGGCCTCTCCCTTCCTGCTTCTCACTGCTCCCTCACGCGCGCAGTTTAGTGATGCCGGGACGGAATGACGTCATATTCCGGCACCCGGCATCATTACAGAGGGCGCGCACAAGGGAGCAGTGAGGAGCAAGAAGAACAGATTGCGCTCGCTGCCGCCTGCTTCCTCTCCTCCCGGCCGGGTAAAGTTTAGCAGAGTAGGCACCTGCATTCCCCACATTGCAGGTGCCTACTCTGCTAAAATTTACCCGGCCTTAACATGTCACACTCACGGCTCACATGGGCCGCAAGCTTGCAATGCTTGCTTTAAGCCGTCTTGCTAGATGACGTAACTTCAAAAAATAAATAATAAACACTTTCAGTTTCCCAAAACCAGATAGTAATATTACCATTAACCCTTTGGTGCCTGACCTATGTGATATTTGCAGTGTAAGATTAGAACTTCATATGGTAAACTCAAACACGGCACTCTGATTTCTTATATGTCAGAGACGATTGAAGGGTGATAGCTATTTGTTTTTTTTATCAGGGTGAGAAAAAGGTATAATTTAGTCTCTTCTGCCCAAGTATTTCGCAGCACTTATCTCAAGTACTTTAGTGCAGTGAGCTCAAAGGTTTTACGTAGGTATCTTTATAAGAGGTTTTGTACTGTGAGGTTCCAAAGAATTGTCTTTTTTTGTTCTGGAGGTAGTTCAACAGTAAGCTTGCTGCAAACTAAAGGATTAACTTCAAACATAAAAAATACTGCCACAGACATTTATGGAGAGTATTTGGCTTGTTAGATGGTCAAAGTAATGCTTAAAGAGAGATTTAGATCCCATGTGCCCACCTAGTTCTAAGTGGGGGGTCTCTTCCTTGTGAAGCGTTAGGTAATTATGTAAGGCTTACTTGGAGAGGATAACATCATGATTTTACAGTAAGATTAACTCATCTGGGAGTTCGTGAAAATGAAAGAGTATTGTTAAAGAAAGCTCATATTTCTTAATATTTAATAAGCAGTATTGTTCAGATATATATCTTCAATAAAGCATTATGTAGTGGCTATGGTACTTTGAGAGTTCCTTTAATGGAACACTCTAATATTGGTAATAAAAAAATAATAACCTGTATTTATAAAGTTAGAGATGCCTCCTTAATAGTTATGGACACTGTAGTAACACATTTTTAGCTTAATGAAGTAGCTTTGGTGTATAGAACATGCCCCTGCAGTCTCACTACTCAATTCTCTGCCATTTAACAGTTAAATCACTTTGTTTATGCAGCTCTGGTCACACCTTCCTGCATGTAACTTGCACAGTCAATTTCCTATCTCCTGCTCTGCTAATAACCTTCTAGTCCCTGCAGGATCCTCCTGTGTGCCATTTAAGTTCAATTTGCTGGGCAGGAGCTAAAAACATCTAAAGGAAGTTAGAGGGACATTATAGTCACCAAAACAACTTTAGCTTAATGAAGCAGTTTTTGTGTATAGATCATGCTTCTGAAGTCTCAATGCACAATTCTCTGCCATTTAGGAGTTAAATCACTTTTGTTTCTGTTCATGCAGCTCTAGCCACACCCCCTCTGACTGTGACTCACATAGCCTGCATGAAAAAAATGGTTTCATTTTCAATCAGATGTAACTTACTTTAAAAGTTTTTATCTTCTGCTCTGTGATTTCAACGTTAACTCCATACAGGAGACTACTGCAGGGTCTAGCAAGCTATTAACAATGCAGAAGATAAGAATTGAAAATTAAACAGAATTTGCAATAAAGGAAGTATAAACATTAGCTGACTCTTTACAGGAAGTGTTTAGGAAGGCTGTGCATGTTACATGTAGGAATATGTGACAAGGGCTGTATAAACAAAGTGATTTCAATCCTAAATGGTAGAAAATTGAACAGCGAGACTGCAGAGGCATGATCTATACACCAAAACTGCTTAATTAAGTTAAAAGTTGTCTTGATGCCTATAGTAGCCCTTTAAAATAATATTGGTTTAGTTACTTTTTAGCCCTCACTGCCCTGGACATACTGTGGCCACTGCTCCGCTTCCAGCCGAGATGATCAGTGATGATCTGAGCTAATCCAGTGATTCACCACGGGGAAGCACATTGGGGACTCCTCATTTGTGGCAATTGCAGTGCTCTACCAATCAGCAGCTTATCACAGAGATGCATTAGTTTAATGCATCTTTATTGCAGTCACAGTTCCCTGAAATAAGTAAATATTTTTGTATGGAATTGCTAGGCGAATTGAATTAGGGTCACTTAACCAAATCATGTTAATACATAGCTTCCCTCACCCCATGGTGCTTTGGCCCACCACAGACAGCTGCCTCTGACTTGCTCACAATCTATTCATTGTGATTGGCTACTCTGGATGATTGGCTGTCTGCTATTAGTGAGTGTAAAACAGTGTATTTGCAGAAGGAACTGCTGCTTTTACCCCACTTAGATAGCAAAACAGTTTGCCTCGTTCTGTTATCAAAAAAGTAAGATTTTTCAATTGAAAAAAACATCTTGATTTGTTACTGTTACTTCTCTATAAAGCATTTTATAGCATTCTGTACTGCATATCCCTTGACACTTTGTGTCATATTTTGTTCCGGTGCATACAAGACATCTCCCTGCCCCTAGTGGCCCTTTTCAGTTTATTTTTATATTCTCCTCCTGACATGTCGATGTCTTGGTTTTCTAATCTATATGGAATGCATTAAGACCAGCTACAGATAAGCATTGATGGTACATTGTCAATGAGCTTGCTTCTGATTTAAAAAATGTACTTAAATAGCATTCAATAAACCTAGGATATATGTTTAAAATAGACATCCCACTATATACACAGGGTTATTACTACAGCATAAAATGTCAGTAATTCAAGAAAAAAAAAAATCACCTTTAACCCCTTAAGGACCAAACTTTTGGAATAAAAGGGAATCATGACATGTCACACATGTCAGGTGTCATTAAGGGGTTAAGGCCAAAATAGTTGAATTAGAAAAATCCTCCAAGTAAGCGGTGTTAGGCTATTTTATATGTTAGTGTTAAGCCTGTGTATATAGATACATTTCTCCTCGATACAATTTACACACATACAAACACACATATACAGTGTATGCATATATATATTAATTTATAAATACATCTTGGTCTCTCAGCCATTCAGTATTTTTCCGCTATCGCCTCTCCCAGGTCATTGACACTCGCTGCCCTTTCAGAGAGCTGTAGGTTTAACTTGATAAGTGTGAATGCATCTGATGACATTTCAAAATGGCTGCTAAATCCATTAAGCGGCTTGTATATCAACATGGTGGATCCCTATAAAACTGTATGTTGGGTTTTGTTTGTTTGTTTTTTTGCTGTTGTGAAAATGTTCAGGATTAATATCTTGCATTGCAGCGTTCTTTTATCGCACACTATGCTTTTATTGAGTAATTTAGACATTTGCCATTTCCTTAACAGTTTCCTGATCCTAAGGCACCTTCTCAAATATGCAGAGTAAGCAGCCTAATCCCATCATTGCTCTGGCTGAACATACAGCATTGTTATCTTGGCAAGGATGTTTACATTACTCATCAAAGCATCTGCATATAATTTAAAATTAGGTAACTGAAAAAAAAAAAAGTATTCAGCAAAAGAGAGGGATGTAAAATTCAAGGTTCATAGGCCAGCATGTTACAAGCACTGGATTATATTTATTGTACTTTGCTTTTTTTTAGTGATGAAAGATCCTTTTAAAGAACAGCGTTCCGTGGCGTAGCTGCTAGCACGGCGAGCACAGCATGTTCAGTGTGGAAGATCTCTTAGTGTCTCATGGATACAGAGTGTCTAAAAACTCACTTTCTACGTATCAGACCAGGAGTGACGGATGCCAAGTTGAGGCGACAGAAAACAGGTCTGGCAACAATGTGACATTGAATGGTTATCAGACGGACCGGGAGGTCTTTGATGCAAACCCAAATCCTCTTGCTAAAAGCAACTTGGAGAGTGACTATGAAAAGGGTTGTATGAACAAGAGAAGGCAGATACATTCTGTTGGGTATCCCAAAGGCCAACAATGTTTCGAACCATGTCATAATTCGGAAACAGGGTACGTCTTCAACATTTATACCATGCTTTATGTTTTATGTATTTTTAAGGTTATATGAAATAATGCTGTACCTTGTTTTGCAAAACACAATGAATAGCATGAAGGTCAGGGGTGAGCATAGGACCTCTTGGCCACCAAAGTTTGAGTTACTTTTAAAATAATACAATTGAACCTAAACTGTACATGCGCATAAAACCACGCTAAGCACCGGTGCTGAAAGAAGTGGTTAAACCTAACAATGTTCTATAAATTCCAGGTAAGGACCCTGATGAGACATTGTCCCTACATTTTCACTAATCAAGGACAAAGGATGGCTGTCTGCTTTAACTCCTATTATGCCAGTAAAATCAGAGGATGGGTAAAAGTTTGTAGTGGTAGAGATTAGAACAAAAGCACTGGATGCCAGTGAACGTCAACGTTTAAGGGAAAGTTGGTATTTGTGGAGAAAATGTTTAATTTGGGAATACAGACAAAGTTTAAAAGAAACTTTTAAAATATTATTTTAGCACCAGAGATGGTAATTGCTTATAATCATATATAATAATTGCACATTCTCGAAGGGCTGCATTCATATTGCACACATCAGGCATTGCTTGGCTATCACAAATTTAATATAATCGTTTTTCTTTAGCTGGGTATAGGTGTAAAGTAGTTGGGGGCAGGTAAAATAGGCAGGATGTGCTCATACATTCACATTTACTTAAGACAGAACTGTCTAATGTCTAGTATACCTGGGAAATTTTAGTATGTCCACCATAACTGCATGGACCAAGTGGTCTGAGCTACAACTAGTTTGCCTTAGGAAACATGTGTAGTATCCCTCAACTTGTCTAGTCTGGGAAGAATATCTTAAAGGAACACTATAGAGTTAGGTATATAAATGTGTATTCCTAACACTACTGTGGCCTAGGTGACTGGACCCCTGCTGCCAGTGAGATCCACTTACCACCATATCTTCTGCACAGCATTTGGGCACCCCCCTAATCTAAATTGTCCCTACCCATTCTTGGTCAAGACCACACCACTTCTTGTTTATGACCAACACACACTTAGACTGATTGACACCACTCAGTGACAGATACACACTCTTTGATACACATACACTGACATACATGCATACTCACTGATTTGAAACACACGTCCTCACTGATTTGACACTCTGACAGACACACATAATCACTCAAAAACACACTGACAGACACACGCTCTCACTGACAGACACACACACGCTCTCATATACAAAAAACACTAATCACCAATTAGAGGAACAAACACACAAACAGGTATACAAATACCTAATTAATTCCAAACTGTAGAACAAATAGGACTCCTCCCAGTCCTCGTAATATAATAGAAATAGAAAAGATCTACAGAACAGAAAAAATAAAAACTCATAGAGTAGTAAAGCCAAAATACATCAAATCCCTGCTAGTTTGATTACACTCACAGGCATAAATTGATAGTAGGCATATCTCAATAATGGAGCACTGGATAGAAGGGAATCCTCAATACGAACTCATGGACATGTAGGAGAGAAAACAGACCGCAAATAAGTGTAGATTATAAGTAATATTAACCCTGCACTGTAATCAGTTACACTTACAAGTTAATAATGATATAAAAGCATATCATAAAGTATCCTCCACAGCCATCCTCCTTCAATTGATGATGAATAAACAAAATAGGGGGAATACTGTGACTAAAAAATATATTTATTAAATAAAACAATAAACAAACTGCAGCTGCACGGGAGATCCTGATACCCCTGAGGAAGTCCGGTATATAGAGGACGAAACGCGTAGGGTTGGATGTTTGTAGAGAGAACTTTTAGTCCGCTTACTTATAACAGTTTGTTTATTGTTTTATTTAATAAATATATTTTTTAGTCACAGTATTCCCCCTATTTTGTTTATTCATCATCAATTGAAGGAGGATGGCTGTGGAGGATACTTTATGATATGCTTTTATATCATTATTAACTTGTAAGTGTAACTGATTACAGTGCAGGGTTAATATTACTTATAATCTACACTTATTTGCGGTCTGTTTTCTCTCCTACATGTCCATGAGTTCGTATTGAGGATTCCCTTCTATCCAGTGCTCCATTATTGAGATATGCCTACTATCAATTTATGCCTGTGAGTGTAATCAAACTAGCAGGGATTTGATGTATTTTGGCTTTACTACTCTATGAGTTTTTATTTTTCTGTTCTGTAGATCTTTTCTGTTTCTATTATAAGCATAGCTGACTTGAAGTATTTTTCCTATTCACCTAATTTGACCTTAAATTCAAAAATGACTTTGAATTCCTCACAATTCTCCCTTGTATATCACTGATAGAATTATTGTCTTCCATTGATAGATAGAATGAAAGAAACTCCAGCCTAAGTTACCAAGAATAACAGAAAACTCACAATTTCTTCTAGTATCATTATCTTCTACCCCTGTTCGCAAATGTGGTCATGTTCTGTCTCTAAAACCATTTCCATACAGACTAATATATTTAAATATGTTTATGGCTCTAAAACCGTCTACAACAACATAAGTAGGTGTTGTAAGAAATTGATACACCAGGCTGAAATACTGTATCATGGACTGAGAGAAAATTCTAGGTTTATGTGTATATGACTGGTTACACAACTTGGGATCATCTACTTGATAAATGTGCTAATTATCTAAAGTTACAAGTGGAGATAATTGCATTTTACAACATCTGCATCTGGGTAAAAACAGTAGACCACATCCCTCGAGCAGTTTTCCTACCAACCAGTTTTCCATCTGTGTTATAAGGAGATCAGAGTGTCAGTGGCCAGAGTATCTACCATCTAGATATAGCAAGACAAGTTTTTGTTTTCCCAAGCCAAAACTGTCTCCAAAACCGAGAAATTATCAACAAACCTGATAATCAACCCTAACTGGTCACTTCTTCTGGAATTTCCTAGTATAGCTGGAGGGCAGAGATGAAACGGTAAAATGTGTATAAAATACCAGAGTACTCTGACCATAGAAGGTGGAGTTCCACAGAGGTCAGCCCTCAGGGAGAACTGTTACTAATATGCCCAAAGAAACTCTCCTTGATATCTGGCCATGTGAGTGGAGACATGTAACCAGCATGGAAGATAGAGGAAACCAAACCGTATAGAAATATACATAATGAAACTCTTATAGTATTACATTATCTTGTGTTCAAGGCCTATGATTAAACACAATGTTTAAAATTTATACTTATGGCAAAATTGTAAAAGTAACCTAATTTAACAACCAATATCAATATATATTATTAGAACATACACATGCCGGTGTTTTATTGTTACATTTTAAAAGAGTCATAATTTCTTACAACGTGCATAATTAATTTAGAGGGTAAAACACTTAAATAGTGTAAATACATGTAAATGTATTCAGGGCAGTAATATATGTTATTTTATAATATTTGTGGATAGTAATTTTGAGTCAGAAACCTATCAGTGCCATGAGGTACATATTTCTTTCACTACCCTCTAGACATTCAAATAATAAACAACTGTTTACAGAACCCAATAAATATTCACTTGTACAGAGGGTCCAGGGTGCAGTTTTTGGGGTACGGCTGCTGGTTGGGCCCTGCAATTAAGGGAGCTGTGCCCAATCTTTGTATATTTCCAATACAAAGACTGAAAAATCTGCCTAAAAATCATCTCAAGAAATCACTATTAATCCTAATGCAGGATCATTCCTGGTTGCCTCTATTTTCATTGGCTGCAAAAAGATATGTTACTTTCAGAGACTAAGAATCAGGAACATGTTGAAATGCGAGAGGGGGGCTGGCTAAGGAGGCTGGCTTACACTGCAAGACATTTTACAGTACTGGAGGAAAACCACAGAATTGCAAGAAAAGAAACTATCCACAAGTATTTCAGCGTATTAGCTTTAATTTAAGCTTAACTTGTTTAGCTGCCTGGAGAGTCCCTTTAAATACGAAATTCACTTTGAATTCTCACTTCTGATAATAACCCTGTGTGATCCCTGTATCCTTTGCTTATCGAACTGTAGCCCTAAAACCTCCACTTCAGGTCACGATTAGTCAATAACTGGAGGACTCCCTCTTAGGGTACAAGGAAAATACCAACAAGTATGTTCAAAAACTCGTTTGACTGATGCTTTAAAAAAAAAAAAAAAATTATATGGACTTAAGTTCCTAAAAAATTTAGATGCCTGGCATTTCTTATGAGTGGAGGACTCTAGCCTGTACATCTTGAACTCATAAAATAATTTTAATTTACACATTGCGGAGCTTGGCCTGTTCCTACATAACCACAAATTTTTATGGGTTTTTTGGCTGTTGCCAAGATAAATTCCACGAATTTAGGAGGGTGCAACCAAAATTGCCTGCTCTGGAGAGAGTGTAATGTTTACATGTAGTATTTTACTGCCAAATTCTACTCTAGGAGGTGTGGAACATAAGGATATAGACTAGATGTGTGTTGTTGTAACATTTCCTTGCCACAAAAAGGAAGAAAAGAGAGAAAGAAGACATGCAATGTCTTTTCTTAGCTGCATTCGGATTGAGGATACAATTTTTGGAAAAACTACAGTGCATAACAGATAGGTGCGATGAAGAATGGAGACATAAAGGCATCTTATGGGCAGATCTGTAACATTTCAATTCTTCATTTAGATTGTTTTTTATTTTCAAGTCCTTGTGAGCACAAGCAATCAATTTGTCCCAAAGATCATTTTATCATTGAGGCAGGACACTTTTAAATCTAGAAGAAAGGCTTTGAAGTTTTATCTGATCTAGAATTGCATAATATACATGTCCAATCACGTGCGGACTAAGTAGCTTGCAGCTACTGAGAGAAGAAACTAATAGGTACTTTTCAGAAATAGGAAGTTAAAGGAGATTTCGGGGATTTCCTGTCTGCAAATCTCTCTTAAATATTTTGCACAATTTAACCCTTAAGATTACGTAATACTATTATCGGTGCAGCATAACCCCATTTTGGCAGCTATTCCAGTTTCAGAGAAAATTGCACAATTGTTTTCTAAAAATACATAATTTTACCTGGAATAAGTAGAGGGGGTGGCGCAATCATGTATTTCTTGAGATAGGTGTAGTCTCAGAAGTAGTGGCATATGTAAAAACAGAAGAATACAGCAGACTATAGTGTAGTATATCTTGCGTAAAGTAAGAATATAACAATTACAATTGCACTTACATTGTGTAGAGCAAAGGTAGCTCCATCTGAATGCACTTGGGCAGTAAAATCCCCACATAGGGATATTCTGTGACTTCTTTAAAGTGCTTTCGTACAGAGGAACTCCATCTAGGTATGGTGACTCAGGAAGCTGTTCACCCCCACCTTGGGGTCTCACAGGTTTGTTGGTAGTTAATATATAAAAAACAAGAATAAAAAATACAGTGCTCACTGTTGTTATAAATAAGAGAATAAAATTAGGGGAGGTTTTGCTGAATCCACAGCGCTCAGGTGGTATTTTCCCACCAAACGAATATGTGGTCCCAAGCTCCTCGGAAGCCCAGAGTGAAATTCACAGAGGTTAGCAAATAACTACTTTATTTAATACACTAGTACATAGAATAATTAAATAATAAAAGAAATACAAAGTAGTAAAGTAACACTTAACGTGTTTTGCCTTCTGAAAAAGCTTCTTTGTGGCAAAACGTTTTAAGTGTTGTTTTTCTGTTTTGTATGGGGCACATTGACGTTGTGGCAGGCTTACGCAATGTAACTAAACCCCCATTATTTTTTGCCTAGATTAAGTATTTGTAAACAAAACTGTTACATTCTGTGAGACTTAAAATTGCTGTTTTGTGAATAAGTGAGCACGCTGGATTTTGTATGTTGTATGAATTGGCCCCATCGGTTTGAACCGATTGAAGAAGCCCAGAGATTGGGCAAAACGCGTCTCGGAGGCCTAGAGGGCACTTTTAAAGATACCATTTTGCATGATTTTAAAGTTTCTTAATTTTTTCACTTTATTGTTTAAATTGACATATATATTCACTACCGTACAAAAAGCGTCTCCTGGCCTGGCACTCTGCATCTGCCTGAGTTGAAAAGGGGCTTGTCACTCCATAACTGACAATTGTGCTAATGCCTGGAGCCAGCATATTGGGGGCTCCAAAAAAACTGAGCAAATTACTAGCAATACTGCTACCTATGTTCCAAAGATATCCTTCATATATTTTGTCTTCTACTGTATAAACACGTCAAAAAGAATCTGAAAGATCCATAGAGAAGGTTGTGTTGCCACCAAAACGCAAAACTAATTTTTACATTCGGAGCCATAATTTCTAAAAGGTTCTATAATTGTGAGAATTCATTTTTCCTCTATATATATATATATATATATATATATATATATATATATATATATATATATATATATATAATAAATCAGTAGCTTGGCACTCTCCTTAATGGAATCCCTTATATCCGCCTCGGTGCAAATGGTATGCGTTCCATATATAACCGAAAAATAATCCAAAATGCACTCTCAGGACTTGTGCAAAAAATCTGTTTTTATTTTAAATCATGTACTAAAGAAAAAAATCGAAAACCAACGTTTCGACCCCTACAGGTCTTTTTCAAGGTTAGTGAAACTAGCAAAATAGTGAATTTATATAGAATAAAGTGTAAGTGCACTTACCAAACCTTAGCGTTGTGTGTTCCCCTCTCCGAACCCGGAAGTGAATTAGGACCTCCTCCCCGACGTCACTACGTCAGGCCGTCAAAAAGACCTATCAGGCGAGGAAAGAAGGGTCACCCGTTATACCAACACTTCGGGGAGACCCCCTGTTCAGAGAACTCGTCCGTAGTATTTAATTTATCCGATAAAATCCTTACACAGGATCATCTTGCGGTTTTGAATAAAGGACTCACTTTTATTCCCAGTAGGAAACCGGACCCTTTTTCGATGGAAATAGAACTGTACAAACTTAATCGAATTCTTAATTGCAACGAATTCAGAAAAATTGGAACTACATCTCGCTCTCATTTGTTTTCTTCAAGAGTGAAAAAGGATATTAAAACTAGCAACATTGCTATTAAGACTTTCATACAAACCATTCATAATGATTTACAAAGGATCATTAAAATTCCTCCTCATTCTAGAAATAATCTTACGTTTAAAGAAAAAGAAGCCCTTAAAGATCTCCGGCAAGATTCAACTATAGTCATTCGTCCCGCTGACAAGGGGGGTGCTATTGTCATCCAAGCATACCAGCAATATAAAAAAGAAATTATGAGACAACTACAAGATGTTAAGACATATAAGAAATTAACATTTGACCCGGTTAAAAAATTTCAACAAAGGATTAATCATCTCATTGAAATAGGTCTCCAGGGGAATTATATTGATTCTAATACGGCAAAATACTTACAAGTGGAATGTCCTATCCACCCGGTATTATACACAATACCAAAAATTCATAAATCCATGCAGGAACCTCCAGGACGCCCTATAGTATCGGCCCGAGGGGGACTCCTTGAGCCTATAGCTAAATATGTGGACTTTTACATACAAGGGTGTGTTAAAGAAATACCTTCATGCCTCAGAGACACTCCAGATCTATTACATCAATTAAAAGATTTCAACATGGAAACAGATGCGGAATTTATTTTCGCAACTTTGGACGTACAAAATCTATACACGGTTATACCCATCACGGAAGGAATACAAGCTGTACGTGAAACTCTTCTAAACACTACTTCTTATGAAGGACCACCTATAGAATATCTATTGGAATGGCTGACGTTAGCTTTGACGTGCAATTATTTTAGATTTGAAAATACCTTCTATGTCCAAACATATGATTGAATCTTTACCTATTTCTCAGTTTGTCCGGGTACTACGTTACAACAGTGATCCTCAGAAAAGAGACACACAAGTACAACAGATGAAGCAGAGATTTGCAGCGAGAGGTTATTCGCAACACATCCTCACAATTGCCGAAACGAAGGCAAAACAATGTATTCAAAATCCGGTGATCAAAGATACTCAGGTAGATCGTCTTTTCCTTCTTCTTACCTTTCACACTAATACTACTCTTATCAAAAATACAATATATAAACACTGGGACATATTACAAGCAGATAAAAGCTTGTCACCAATCTTTCAAAATCCACCGATTATTAGTTACAAACGCAACAGGAATTTGAAGGACATATTAGTCCGCAACGATCCGGTACACTGTTACCAACATGAAGGCAGCAATAAGAAGAAGGGATGTTACAAATGTACAGGCTGCGTAACTTGCAGTCATATGGCTCCTGGTACCTCTTTTGTACATCCGCATACAGGCAAACGGATTGCTATTCAACACTACATCACTTGTACAACCGACCATGTAGTTTATCTTATTACGTGCCCTTGCGGGCTAGCATATGTGGGCAAAACGGATCTTACTGTTAGAGATCGCATAAGAGGGCATCGTTCAGCAATTACCACAGCCTTTCGTGACCAACACACTGAGAAACCAGTGGCTAAACACTTCCTGGCCTTAAACCATCGTCTTCCCACTTTGAGATTTATTGCCATTGATCATGTTCCACCTTTACGTCGAGGAGGCGATAGGTCTAAGATTCTTCTACAACGGGAAGCATATTGGATCTATTCTCTAAAAACAGCAGCTCCAAAAGGACTTAATGAACACGTTACATATTCTATGTTTCTTTAATCAACATTTGCAGACGGGACATTTTTTATTCATTTATTATTATTTTATATTTTTTATTCATTTTTTATTCATGTATTATTATTTTTTTCACTCTTTTATTTTTATTTTTTATTTATTTTTGGACTTATTTCTTTATTTCTTTTTTATGCAGGTTTGCCTGTTATATTCAATATTTTTTACAGTTATATGTATTGGCAATAGCATACAGTATTGACTTTTTTTCTCAGATATTTGTCTTTTCCCACCGCTATAGTTGATCACAGATCAATAGGTGGTCGCTTCATCAGGTCTATTCCTCACGAATATTACATTATAATATAGTATATGATAATACATAATTCTTTATATATAGATATAATTATTGGTCGAGCTTTAGATTGTTTTCTCCAGATCTGTACCTTAGGTTTAAGATTGTTTTACAAGATTAATATGTAGTATTTATTTAAATGGTGCTTAATTCATTTGTAGCAATAATTTTGTGATTAACCTTGATTTAAGGTTTATGTTTATATTTATATTTATACCATAAGTGAATCACATTTAGCAGCACCTCATTCGGGTGAATCCTTGGATCCATCATCTGTCAGTTTTTTCATAGTTGTACTACACTTATTCACATTCTGCAGCACTTAGTCACTAAACATGACACCCTTAAAATCGATGGATACCACTAATTCCCTTATGGGGTGAGTTATTATAATATGGATCTATTCTTCCATCTTGTTAGTTCTCCCTCACCAGTATTGCTCACTTTTCTATCACAGTATATGCTACACTCTGGTAACATACACCTGTTGTTATGACAACCTATCAACATTCCGCCTGACGGCCTGACGTAGTGACGTCGGGGAGGCGGTCCTAATTCACTTCCGGGTTTGGAGAGGGGAACACACAACGCTAAGGTTTGGTAAGTGCACTTACACTTTATTCTATATAAATTCACTATTTTGCTAGTTTCACTAACCTTGAAAAAGACCTGTAGAGGTCGAAACGTTGGTTTTCGATTTTTTTCTTAGCACATGATTTAAAATAAAAACGGATTTTTTGCACAAGTCCTGAGAGTGCATTTTGGATTATTCATTCAATTATATATATATATATATATATATATATATATATATATATATATATATATATATATTTTAAATTCTTTATTTTGTTTGTGCAGATATTAAACAAGTAGATTTTCACTGCCACAACAGCTGGAGCAAACAGATTTGTAGTCACATGGTAACAGGAGTATGGCATCAAAAACGTTATTTTACATAGGGGAATGAACAGGATCATATCGTAAGCTTGATAAAAACAAAAGGAAACATCAACCTGGCTCAGAGATTGGCAGCACAATTTTAGTTAAAGTAGGAATAAGGGTCAGACTAGAACATGACATTTTGAGACTGAACTGAGTACACTCAAATTAGTACCTGATTGCACATGCTTTTGTGATTAATAGAGTAAAAAAGTAAACTAGACTCATCATACATGTTTAAAAATAAATAGGAGATAGTTTTAGTGGAGATAATGAGACATGCAGGTACACATTAAAAACATAGAAGTGAGAGTCAAGAACTATCCGGCAGAGAACCTCTGGGTATTATTAACAAAAAAATCGATGTGTTAAAAAACACTAGAAGATGTCACAAAGATTAACCGGCTGAACTGACATGTCCAAACATGAGACAACAGCAAAGCTTGCACTGTAATATATCTAGTTAAACATGTGGATAGCGACTAAGTAATAGTGCTAAACAGGCTAGGGTTTTAAAATGATGTTGTCACTGGGCCTAGGCTTTCTGAAATTGTTACTGCATTGTAAAACTTAACAGTTACAGTTAACTCAACGGCCTCCATCTTCCCGACAGTGGGGCATAGCACTGGTGATACGACCGACGCTCAGCTCAGCGAATCCCCTTGAGTGTTAGGAGCAAGGTGCAGTCCAGATGGAACTTGTAGATGGTCGTCCCGGAGCGTCGGGATAGGGGTCTCCTCCAGCCCCAGGCCTGGATGAGGGCTGGCGTTTTGTGACCACAGATGCTGAAGTGCCAAGTCTTTGCCCCTACTGGGGTAGGCAGAAGATCCAGATAGTGACTGCCTGCGTTGGCAAAGGGTCATCAGCCGCCATTGGTCGATGCTTGAGGGCTTTTCCTCAGGTGGCTCTCAGCCTAGGATGGCGTTTCATCACTGGTATGTGAGTAGTTGATAGTTTGCCCGGGGGAGACACCCCCTTCCTTGGCGCTACAGTGTTCCTTTTAGGTGTTGTAGGCCTCTGTGGTGTCTGCTGAATGTGGGCCTGTAAAGTTGCCCAGAAGGCATTGAAGATTTCTTCCAAGTGTTGTAGGCCCATTTCAACAAAGCTGGGTACTGGTTGATACTCTAGGCCCAGGACCTGTTTGTCCAGGAGAGAGGCTGTCGCCATAATGTGCCTCGAGATTTGTGCCAGGGTAGTGTGGCTTATAACGAAGTGTGCTCAGCTGGGACCGGGATAACCCCCACCAGTCCAGAGGTTCTGCTAGGTTCCCGGCAGGGAGGTCTGCTGCCACTCCCGATCTGGTCCTGCTAGGCCGCATATACTTCAAGTTGATTTTTCGTCCCTGTAAGGCACATGAAAGCACCATTTGGTATCCGGTAGCCTGTCTGCACCCCAGAGGTTGATGTACCTCAATTTAATTAGCTGTGGACTGGTATTTCGAGAGCTCTGCTGTCATGTGTCTGTTCCCCTCCTCCATATATTTTTATATACATTTATTTTTAACAATATTACACTATTATATTCTTTTTTTGAAATCTTTTTCTGTTAAACCATCTACTCTGAGATATATGGGTAAGCCCCTCTATTATCTGCAGGTTATTTTATACTAAGCGCTGCACTTTATACATTTGAATGTTTTATTAGGTGCGGGGTTTGTCACCTAAACATTGAAATTTGTATTTTGGTCATTTTTTTTCCATTATATAAGTTTTTGCTTATCAATATTAGGATTGTTTACTGCTGCTAGCCTTTGTCACTTACTTTCGTGTTTTTGTATTATGGTATTGCTTATGTTTTTGTGTGCATTGCTCTCTACACAATACATATTGTTTGTTTGTTTTTTTTGTATATTCATAATTAGCTTAGTGTGCATCCTTTCGCCTTTAACCCCTTAAGGACACATGCACATGTGTGACATGTCATGATTCCCTTTTCTTCCAGAACTTTGGTCCTTAAGGGGTTAAATATCAAATAAAAATACATGCATAAACATGACATAAGATATAATCACTCAACCAAACACAAAGAATGTATATGTAATAATAAAAGGTAAAAAAAAAAGAATAATCAGATAGAAAACCATACCCATTGGAATTAGCCACTGCCTTTACAATAACATATATTTATTAATTACACCATTAGAGTGATGACGTGGGGGTTATAATAAAATGTTCAAAGATTTTTGGGAATGATGCAATATCCAAGGTTTCTAAATCTCTTTATATAAATTCAAGTTGTTCATATTTTTTAAGTCATATTCCTCCATAGTATACTGATAGTCTGCGTAGTTAATTCATTCTAGCCAGGAATTAAATTTAATCTCCAATATCTAGCCAAACATATTTTAGCTGCCATAATACTATGAATAATAAAAAGGCGTCCTGGGTCTAGCTATCATTGGTAGATTAATATGAAAAAGAAATAACGGAGCACTAATTGTAATCTGCAACTTCGAGACATCCATCACGACTATTTACAACTCTCTTCGAACTGCATTTCCACTACAGGACACAAGAGGGCATGTTAGCCTTATCGCTTTCTTGTGATAACATGTTTCCTTTCATTATTTCAAGTGTACATAACGGTAACTATTATATATTATTGTGAATCTTTGCTAATTTGGGGAGTTAACAGACTTAAAAAAAAAAAAACCCTCAAACTGAATTTTGTTTAATTTTTGTTTCCATATTACATAATTCTAATGGTGACATCAAAAACACAATTATAAAGATGAACACATTCTGGTCAATCTAAATATATTCCTAGTTATTGTGTTTGTGCAAATGCGTGTTTAGGTTTTGTTGATTTGCTGGAGGGATGATAAATACAATTTCTTTAAATCGTGCTTCTATTAAAAAGAAAAGAGAGAAAAATAACCTATAAAAATCATCT